CAGAGTGATGTCTAGCCCAGAGCCTACAGGACCTGCCATTGTCCTGGTGGCCTTTCTACCCCCTACATTTAAAGGTGTTCGTGCTGTGGCCGTGGCCGTCTGCGGAGCCGCGGGGGGCAGGTCTGCGGGGTCTAGCCCCGTAACGTGCACCGGGGAGGAAAGGCACCACTGGAGTGTCTGCTGGAGCTGGTCATCTCTCACCCGGCTCTGCCCCTCACCCGCACCCTGGCTGCAGGGGCTGGCCGAGCCCTGCCTGTGCCGGGAAGTGCTCCGGCCACTCTGGTGTGCCCTGGTCTCCCAGTTTTCAGAGCTGATGTCAGCCACAGCCCCTGTCACTGAGGGGGAGGCAGGAGGGCAGCTTGGAGACGGGACCAGCAGGGCCACCGGGGCTGTATTCCTGACCATGGCCCGCTCTGGCCCAGCGTCCCCATGTGTAGAAGGAGGCTCCCACAGCAGGGCGTGGCGTGGCTGTTTGAGGTGTGCTTGTCTTCTCTCCGCTCTTCCAGCGCTGGCGCAATGTAAGTCTCAGCACCCTGGGAAGGGGACTTAGCAACACTTGGCCAGTGCCCTTAGATTCAGAGCAGGTGCGTGATCCTTTCCTGATGACGGACAGCTGTCTGAACAAGGCCCCGGGCCCTGCTGAGTGGGGCACAGGAAGACCTGCCCCCGCCACACCCCGCCGTGACTGCCCATGCTCAGAAATCCCCCGGCTCAGCCCCAGATGGAAAGGGACCTGCTTAGGACGAGTGTCAACCTTGCCTGGGAGTGAGTCCCCCACGTGAGCTCCGCCCAGGTGGAAGCACAGTGAGGGGGGATGGAGGGGAGAAACACAGGGATCCCCTCCTATTGCCAGCGACGGTTTGCCAGGAAGCTGGACGCTTTAAAAGCCGAGGTTCTCGGCGAAGATTGTTTCCAGACGCCCATCTGTCCCTGCTTTGAGTGCGGTTTCAGTTCATGTAGGCTCACTGACAAACGTTAACGTCTCATTCCTCTTTCACCTGTTTCTGCAGGTATTGAAACACCCTTTACATTCCCCATGAATGTCCCTGCGTCCAAATTTAGCCTCTAGAAGTGGAGACTCCTGAGGAACATTCTGGAACACATCATCCTGAAAATCTTAATTAAGGAACACGTCACAGAGGGCCCAAGAGGAGACTAACACCAAGGTGATTAATACTTGGGGTTCTCAAAACTGTGTCTTGGCCAAGGACTTTGTGCGTCAGGGCACTGTGGCCCTGTGAACAGTCCAGGTGAGAGTGGGACACATGGCCATGCCGCCCTGTCCCTGCGAACTCGGCCTTGTTCTTCTCTGGTTAGCAAGAGGGAATTGGGGGACCGTGCGGGCAGCCACATGGCTGGGCAGGAGTCTGGCCGGTACTTTGGAGGTGAGACTCTCAGGGCAGAGAGTGTGGTGTCAGTAGAGAAAGGATGCTGGGAGGGGCCGGGTGTGGCCCCCAGTCAAGGCCGCTACAACCTGCTGGGCCCAGGAGAAGTGTGGGCTCCTGCTTCCCCGGAAAGGGGCCTGCCTGGCCTGGCCTTCCCTGCCCTGGGGGGTTTAGTTTGGGGGCAACGCTGTGTCCTGTTTGGGGACTTTCCTACAGGACTGCTCAAGTGAGAGCCTCACTTTTCCCCGTGAGATTCTCAGAACCCTCTGGGAGGAAAGAGCATGTTAGAGAGGAGCCTGGGAAATCTCCTCCCCCCGTTCTGGAGATGCTGGCCCCCATATGGAGAAGGGACAGATCTCCGTGCTGGGGACCTGATTAGCGACCCTCCTGGAGCAGAGCAGCCCAGCGCCCTCCGGGGAGGTCCTGATGGGCAGGCAGCAGCTGGCTCTGTGATCTGGCCCAGCCCCTGGCCCTCTGCTCCGCCACTGCAAACCGCACGCTCCCCTGCGCCTCCTGCTCCCGCTCCCTGCGTCCTGGTGGCCCAGAGAGCAGATCTGAGCCGGAGGCTGCTTTTGGATCAAGGGCCACAAGGACTTTTCTTCGTGGTGGCCACACCTTTCTTTGGAAATGTCATTCTCCCCAGTGTGTGACTAAGGAGTGGACCAGTGTGACCAACATGTCCCAGTGTGCCCGGGACTTTTCTGGTTGTAGCACTGAGAGTTCCGCAGCCCAAGAATCCCTCAGTCCCTGGCAAACAGGGACAGCTGGTCACCCTGTCTGCACTCTCCTGTGGCAGGGGAGTGAGCCAGTCCTGCTGGTCATGTGGCCTCTGTCTGCCTGTGCCCTCCACCCCGTAGACCTTCTCCCCGCAAACTGGGGTGGGGAGGCTTCCCTGCCAGGGTGAGGGGCGGGTAGAAAGCCCCACGTGGGACTAACAGAGAGGAGTCAGCTGCTGGTGTCCGAGAGCCTGCCGCTCCTCAAGCTCACCTGGGCCCCCTGGCTTGGCGCGGGCACACAGACCCTCAGCTGGGCCTCTCAGGGCTCCTGGTCTTCCTGTGCTCTCTTTCGAGTCGGGCCGTGTGGCAGGAAGTCCCATAGAGGTGTCCTGCTGTCCCTCAGGTGCAACGCTCTTGCAGGCGTCACAGGCAGGGCCCAGGTGTGCGCTCACGTGCTCCCGGGAGCAGCACCCTCACCTGCCTCGGTGTGAGGCCGAGCCACCCACCCACACAGTGTAAGCAGAGCTGAAGCAAGACACCCACGGGACTCGGCTGTGCACATAGGTGCAGGCGCACAGAGGGATGTGGGCACGAGGGCCAGGAGCTGGCACAGGCAGGCGGAGGATTTCTGGAGACACCAAAGGGGGCATGTGCACAGGGAGTGAAAAACCACATGGTGGCCCCCTGGCCAGGGCGTGGTGGCCTCTGCCAGCTTCCTTACCTCAGCTCACGAGCGGCCTCCACAGGCCTTGGGGTCAGGCCTGGAACATCAAGAGACATTCCCCACCTTCTCCCTGCCAGGTAGGAGCCTCCCAGGGTGGCCAGACCTGTGTGGGTCCCAGGAGCCTGGTCCTCTGGCCCAGCTCCCTGGCAGGATGGGCAGGCCCGGGCGTGCTGGCGGGGGGAGCAGGCGTGAGGGGCTCTTACACAATCCCTGCCGGGCTCAGCGGGCGGGAGGGTTGAAAGGCCCGTGGCAGCTCCCAGGCCCTGACGCCTGGGCAAGGAAACCGCAGCCTGAAACTGCTGGGTTTCTGAAGGGCAGGAAGGCGGGAGTTTCTGAGATGTGCTCCACTCTGCCTGCCAGCCAGGGTCTGCCATTCCTTTGAGGCCAGCGGGGCTGCCAAGCATGTGGGGCACCTAGGCTTCCAGAAACTCGGCGAGGCCAGTGCCCCATTTCTCACTGAACATGTGTAGAGTTTGCTGAAGACAGTGTTCCTTTGTCCAGAGTCCTCCAAACATGGTAAAACCCACCTATGTAGGTACAGACCCCAACATGGGGTCCTGGGAACACTATGGTTTTTCTGGATGTGCCAGACACTATTTGAGGCACTTTCTGATATTAAGCCATTCAGTTCTCACAATAACCCTGATAGATAGGTAGTATTATTATCGTCCCCATATTTTAGGGGTTGGGGAGTCACTCACCCTATTCACATAGCTAGTGCGAATTGCAGGGCTGGGATTTGACCCCAGGCAGTTTAAAGCAGCATATGTATATTTTGTCTGGTGTTTTGGGAATCAAGCAGAAATGTGAGATAACCAATGAGGAACATGCTGGAAGTGGCTTAGGAGCAGGCTTAGGTTGCAAACTTAAGAGCCTACTGGCCAGGCAGAGGAAATAAATGTGACTCGGGTTGGCCAACTAGAGAGTGTGGACTGTTGGCAACACTGAGGTGTCCCTAGGAAAATTACCTACAAAGAAAACTTGCTCAGAGGCCACGTGTAGCCGCTGCCTGAGAACAGTTGGAACGAAGTCCAGTGCAGCTTGGCCTGTGAGCAGCCCTGGGTCAGGTAATGTGGGCTCCCACAGGGCATATCAGCTTGTACTGGGGGGGGGCTTGAAGGGCAAGCCCCTTCAAACCCCCTGCTGTGTAGTAGCAAAGGGTATAAGATGCACCAATGAGTGGAAGTGACAAGGGACAGGAACAATAGTCCATTCAGAAACACCAAAAGAGGTAGGCCAATAACCCTGCAATGTTCAGGTGTCATCTCGGCCCAGAAGTGGAGTGGGAGGGGGGGTAGACTCAAGGACCTGGAGGGACCATGGAAGGAAGGTGCTCTGACCTTCCATGGCAGTGACTGCTTGGTGCAAAAGCTGACCATAGCCGTGGAGGTGCAAAAGCCATGGAGTGGCAGCCAGCTGAGCTGCGCAAAAGCCATGGAGTGGCAGCCAGCTGAGCTGCGCGGGACCCACAGGCTATCCTGCTCTAGGGCAGGAGCCCTCAACCGGCTGCAGGAATCCCCAAATGTGTGTGTTTGGCGCAGTGCCCACTCGTCGACTGGCCCAACCAGGGGACCTTGGAACTGGTTGGTGGTGGGCGTTGGGGTCACTCGCCTCCGGAAGCACCTGGGACTGGGGGGCCGGGGATGAGGGACGGGCCGCCCGCCCTGAGGTGCGCGGGTCTTGGCTTCATGACCTTGTTGCACGTCGTGCGGTACCGTCCACTAGCACCGGCGCAATTCTTGGTCGGAGGTGCCCAGGCGCTGGTGGGTGACACTGCGCGGGGCCCCGCGCCCTCCCCCTCGCTGGCAGCCGTCGTGCGCGCTCGCCCGCTCCTCTTCCCTCCCCCTCCACCCGAGCAGCCGCGGGGAGGGGAGGAAGGGGGCGCCGGGCGGGCAGCTTTGCCGCGCTTTGGCTTTCTGCGTCAGCAGCCCCTGCAAAACAGCGGCGGGCGCGCGCGTCCCCCCCTCCCCCGCGCTCCCCCCCTCCCCCGCGTCCTCGGGCCCGCGCGGTTGAGAACCCGCAATCTCAGGCCTAGCTAGAACGACAGTGCGGCGGCGGCCGCGCAGAGCGGGATGCGGAGAGGCTCTGCCGCTTTAAGCCCGCTTGGCCATTGTTCGGAATCGAGCCAATCAGCGAGCGCCTGCTCCCTGCGCTCACCCAATAGGGTTCGGGCAATGGAGCCAGAGTCCGGTCCACTAGTCTCTAGGACCGGTTCTGGCTGCTGCGAAAAGCCATCTTTGCATTGTCCGGGTGCCGGCTTCCTGCTCGCCGCAGCCACCTCCCCGCACGCCGCCGCCGCCGCCGCGGACTCCGCAGCTTGACCGCCAGGGTCCCCGAACCCGCGCTTGCGTGGCTGCCCCCTGCATCGCCGGCGCGCCCCACCATGGCCGACGCTCCCGTGGACACCAGCGCCGAGACCACCTCTGAGGTGAGGCTGACGGCGCCGCGCCCTCGGGTCCGCGCCCGGCGGGGCTGCCCCGAGGCCGCTGGGGCTCCCCCGCTGCGGAGCCCTCCCGCCCCAGGGCGCGGCCCCCACGCAGCCCGCTTGCCGGGCCGTGAATTCCTACGCGGGTGGATAAAGATGTCTCAACAAAGGGTAGGGTCGGTTTAAGTAAAAAGCTTATTTTACCGTAAGATTAGATAGTTTTAAGTGAAGTATCCCAAGAATGGAAAAACAAGCACCACACGTACTCACCAGCAAACTGGTATTAACTGATCAGCACCTAAGTGGACACACGGGAATAACATTTATCGGGTATTGGGCAGGTGGGAGGGGAGGAGGGGACCGGTACGTGACGAGTGAGATGTGCACCGTCTGGGGGATGGCCACGCTTGAAGCTCTGACGTGGGGGGGGGCAAGGGCATCATCTGTAACCTTGAAATTTGTACCCCCATAATATGCTGAAATAATAAAAAAAGATTAGGTAGTTTTAAAGAAAGAAAGTTTATTTTATGTCCCAAAGATGGGAAGGGCTCGACACACGAGAAAGAAGTGTCCGCCCTGGAATAAGTGATTTGGCGTTTTTATTAGGGGGTAAAGAGAAAGAAAAAATAGTTATTGCTGTCAGCTGATAACAAAAACAGGTATGAAGCAGCAGTGTTTGCTTTTTTCTTTTTTTCTTTTTTGCTAGGCCAGCTTGGAAATGTATTTCTGGCAGGAAATGACGTGGAAAGGTGCATCCCTACTGTCTGTTCAGGGTTCTTCAAGGATGTAGGAAAAACTTTCAAAAACAATTTAAGCCCTTTGATCAAACAAAGGGGCAGTTGTGCTGTGATCTTTCTCTTCAAAGGGATAATTATGTGTTGTGAGTTTATTCCGTTTACTTTTCCGTTTGATAGTTTGTCTTTCCTTGTTAGGTAGTTTATTAACGAGGCCATCCTTTCATCCGCCCACTCTTTTTGGTTAAAATTAAAATTCTTTTTTTTTTTCTGAGACAGTCTCACTTTGTTGCCCAGGCTAGAGTGAGTGCCATGGTGTCAGCCCAGCTCACAGCAACCTCAAACTCCTGGGCTCAAGCAATCCTCCTGCCTCAGCCTCCCAAGTAGCTGGGACTACAGGCATGTGCCACCATTCCCAGCTAATTTTTTCTATATATATATTAGTTGGCCAATTAATTTCTTTCTATTTATAGTAGAGACGGGGTCTCGCTCTTGCTCAGGCTGGTTTCAAACTCCTGACCTCCAGCAATCCGCCGGCCTTGGCCTCCCAGAGTGCTAGGATTACAGGCGTGAGCCACCACACCTGGCCAAAATTAAAATTCTTTATTAGTGGCCGGGCGCTGTGGCTCACGCCTGTAATCCTAGCTCTTGAGAGGCCGAGGCGGGCGGATTGCTCAAGGTCAGGAGTTCAAAACCAGCCTGAGCAAGAGCGAGACCCCGTCTCTACTATAAATAGAAAGAAATTAATTGGCCAACTGATATATATATATAAAATTAGCCGGGCATAGTGGCGCATGCCTGTAGTCCCAGCTACTCGGGAGGCTGAGGCAGAAGGATCACTCGAGCCCAGGAGTTTGAGGTTGCTGTGAGCTAGGCTGACGCCACGGCACTCACTCTAGCCTGGACAACAAAGCGAGACTCTGTCTCAAAAAAAAAAAAAAAAATTCTTTATTAGTGAACTCAAAAACTGGGGAACTTGGACAGAGGTCGCATCTCCCGTAACTTTTTCCTACTGGCTTAGGGAGGTAGAGATGTCCCTGTGGAGAGTCCATCTGAGGGTCATGAAGGGGGAGGGGTTGAAAAGAGTGTGGTCTTAAAAGTGAGATTAGAAGCAGAATGGGTGTTTCACTGTAGAGAAACAGGGCTTGGCTGTGTGCGGTGGCTCACGCTTGTAATCCTAGCACTCTGGGAGGCTGAGGCGGGGGGGATTGCTCGAGGTCAGGAGTTCGAAACCAGCCTGAGCAAGAGCGAGACCCCATCTCTACTATAAATAGAAATTGGCCAACTAACGTATATATATAAATAAAGTTAGCCAGGCATTGTGGTGCAGGAGTTTGAGGTTGCTGTGAGCTGGGCTGATGCCACGGCACTCACTCTAGCCTGGGCAACAAAGCGAGACTCTGTCTCAAAAAAAAAAAAAAAAAAAAAAAAAGAGAAACAGGGCTTGAATTTGGTTTTGTATGAATGTTATCAGATAGAATGTAGGGTCCTAATATGAATATCAGAAACAGAGCCACTCCGGCCCCCAAGAAATCTGTTAACTAAGAAAACTGAGGCCACACTTGGGGAGACGAGTTTTCAGTTTTGAATGTTAGGGTTCCCAGCATGGGCAAAGGACAGATGAGGCCTGCTATGTAAGCTTGGATGTGGCAACATTCATAGAGCGACAAGAGAAGTATAAATAGGAAGAAAAGGGGGATAAGAAGCCATATATACCACAGCATATTATTAAAGCTAATGATTTTGAGGCTTCTGTTGAGTGAATCCGAGCCTGGTATCTGTGATGGGCTGGCAGGTGCAGGTTGGTGGATTTTCAGGGGGTTTGCAGTGTATGGAAGCAGGTTTTTCTGGAGGATCTGTAGGTTTGAGTTGGGAGAGATGAATCCAGGATAGGATCCCCAGAAGCTCAGCTGTAGTGGGAGTAGTGAGAATTATTTAAGAGGAACTCTCTATGAAGGGTGGAATGGGCTTAGTTTATAGTACTGGGGGATCTTTAAGTAAAACATAGTCTCCAGGCTGTAAATGTTGCAGTCCATAAAAATTAAGAGGTTGAGGTTGAAGATGGCTATAGTGAGTTTTACTGCTGGCAGGTAGGTATCAAATGGAGGGCAAAGGTGGAAACTGAGGTGAAAGGGGACAGGAGAACAGAATGCCCATACCATACATAAGTTTAGAGGGGCTAAGGAACAAAGACACCCTAGGGAGATGTAGACTCTGAACTCATTTCCATCTCTGAAAATCGACCCTTACAATCTCACATGCCCATCTCTTTTCAGATAGTCCCTGGGCTTAGAAGGGGGATATTTTAGTAGCAGGGCTTTGGCAGTGAGTAACAGGTTTGAGCTAGGTGGGATTTAGTAGTTTTAGATCTTGGAGATACCAGGTAAATTTGTTATTTACTCAATAGCTGTCATGACTGTGGAAAACAAAGCATGAAAAGAACACTTGAATTAGCGAGGATGTGTCCAGGGTCATGAGTGAACAGTATGATGTAGTGGAATGTGAATAAGAAAAACTAGTACCTCGAATAGGGGAAAAATGGACTCTTAGCAACTATATGAGAAATTTTTTGACCATATTAAATAATGTAGCATAAAACACTTGTCACAAAACAGGATCACAGGTTGCCATAAAATTATAGTCATTTATCTAGCTAAACTGATAATCAAAAGATTTCAAGAGGCAAAAAAATGTTTTCTCTTTGATAGAGACTTAGCTTCTCAAACAATCATAAGACCTAGTATAGACAAGCTGGAATATAAATCAATAAGGAAACAAAATGAATCTTTTTCTTTAGTTTTTTTTTTTTTTTTTTGAGACAGAGTCTTGCTTTGTTGCCCAGGCTAGAGTGAGTGCCGTGGTGTCAGCCTAGCTCACAGCAACCCCAAACTCCTGGGCTCAAGCAATCTTTCTGCCTTAGTCTCCCGAGTAGCTGGGACTACAAGCATACGCCACCATGCCTGGCTAATTTTTTCTATATATATTAGTTGGCCAATTAATTTCTTTCTTTTTATAGTAGAGACGGGTCTCGCTCTTGCTCAGGCTGTTTTCGAACTCCTGACCTTGAACAATACTCCCACCTCTGCCTCCCAGAGTGCTAGGATTAGAGGTGTGAGCCACCAGGCCCAGCCTTTTTAGTTTTAAATGAGTTTTTAAAACATTTACATTGTTGCTGAAGCTGGCTGCTCCAAGTAACCTTGATTTAGTGAACTTTATCTCAGCACCAGTAAATTAGCAACTGCAGTTTTAAGCAGGCAGAAAAGAAAATAGCTTAACAAACTCTTCATTTTAACCCTATAGCAGCAGATTGACCATTTGAGCTCTGAACTTTTTGATGTAATTTGTCTTTTAGTTAAAACTTGTGCACAAGGATTGGCCATAATCAGCTAGAGTGACAGAAAGCATGGCATGTCTTTGAACCCTTCCATTTATACAAATACTTATAGAGGCATCATAAACCAACTGGGTTGTCCAGTGGGGTCATTCTTATTTTTAATAATTTTTGAAGTATTTGTTTTCCACTTTTCTTTAAAAGAAGCAGCCATACTAGTCTAGGGTTTTGTGTAGTGGATCAGAGTATGCCAGTTGTAGGTGGGACTCAACAGTGTTTCACCACTGAGTCATTTTCACCCTCTTACATGTCTCAGTTTCTCTTTGGGGGTCTTTTCTTTCTTTTTTTTTTTTTTTTTTGAGACAGAGTCTCACTTTGTTGCCCAGGCTAGAGTGAGTGCCGTGGCGTTAGCCTAGCTCACAGCAACCTCAAACTCCTGGGCTCAAGCTATCCTACTGCCTCAGCCTCCCAAGTAGCTGGGACTATAGGCATGTGCCACCATGCCCGGCTAATTTTTTCTATATATATTAGTTAGCCAATTAATTTCTTTCTATTTATAGTAGAGATGGGATCTTGCTCTTGCTCAGGCTGGTTTTGAACTCCTGACCTCGAGCAATCCGCCCGCCTCGGCCTCCCAGAGTGCTAGGATTACAGGTGTGAGCCACTGTGCCCGGCCGGGGGTCTATTACTTCTAAGAGGGCTCAAAACATTGAGTGTTCAGCTCTTATATGCGTTTCCTGGATGAGCCTTCTTTTAATTTTGTTGGCGGAGTGGTTCCTATTATAGGGTCACTCGTGCCTCTGAGAATCACCCCAGGCAACTCCCACTCATCCCCAGCCCCTCCGTCACCCAGGGGTGGCTTTTGGCTGGGAGTAGATTGCTCTTTCTCTTTGGAGTAGAGGAACTCAATCTCTCTTATCTACAAACAGAACAGTTGGTTTTCTGCTTTTGCAAATGCACAGAAAAGCCAATTGAGATTAATTTTGGGATAAAAAGCAATGGAGAAGATCCTTTAAAAGCCATATATACCACAGGATATTAATAAAGCCATAGGTGCTTGAATCAAAATTAGGATCCCAAATGACAAATTCCTAGGACAAGAACCAATAGTTCTGAATAAAGCAAGGACCATCAACTCTTTAAAATTTTTTAGGCAACATAAGAGTAAAAGCCAAAATATCAAAGGTGAGGCTAAAAAATTAACTTACAGGCATTGAGTTACTACATTTTTGGATTTAGTTTGCAGAGTTGTAGCAAATATAAACATTGTTAACCATTTAAGCTAAAGAACTTAGAGACTTTTGTTGTGTCATGATATTTTAGTCTTCTTAATAATTTGTCCTAAGGTGGCTGATAAATTCTTTAATCTCCTTCTGTACAAACCCCATAACTGAGAACATAAACCTTTGTTGCTTTAACCAGAAAATTTCCCTTATAATTATAGTCACTTGATCACATAAAACATTTCTTTATACATTCCTGTCTATGAACCTTATCTCAATTTGCATGGACGACTGACAACATACTTAAGCTTTCTGTTTTGTTTAACCTTTTTTTTTTTTGAGACAGAGTCTCGCTTGTTGCCCCGGCTATAGTGAGTGCCGTGGAGTCAGCCTAGCTCACAGCAACCTCAAACTCCTGGGCTCAAGTAATCCTTCTGCCTCAGCCTCCCAAGTAGCTGGGACTACAGGCATGCGCCACCATGCCCGGCTAATTATATATATATATATATATACTAGTTGGCCAATTAATTTCTTTCTGTTTATAGTAGAGATGGAGTCTCGCTCTTGCTCAGGCTGTTTTCGAACTCCTGACCTCGAGTAATCCGCCCGCCTCGGCCTCCCAGAGTGCTAGGATTACAGGAGTGAGCCACTGCGCCCGGCCTGTTGCCCGGCCTGTTTAACCTTTCTTACCAAAAGTATGCTTCTACATGCGTTGCATTTCTGCATCTCCCCGACTCCTACTTTACTAGTCACGCTCTATCCTGCTCTTACTTTCCCCCTAAATTTATATTTTGAAAGCATAGAGTTAGGATATTAGGCCTAGATAAAGGAAAAAAGAAGGTTGTATGTAAAGTCTCAGTCAATTGTTTTTCCACGAGCCTGAGAAAGGAAGCCCGAGAAAGGAAGCCCGAGGAGGTGTTAAAGGAGTTGGGTGTTTAACTGAACCAACGGATCTTTTTTTAGTAGAGGGATAATTGGGAAGCATTAAAAAGGAGTGAGCCAAGGGGCTGTAGAGTACACATAGGTTTGCATTTTGCCTTCCATTCTGATGATGGAGGTAGGGTAGGAAAATAGAGGCCCTGAAAATTCAGGAAGAGTAAAGTTAGTCGCTCTGGTGTCTATTAAAATCAGTTTGCTTACCTGTGACAGAGAGAGTGTTACTCAAGGCTCGGCCATCTCGATGTTGTGCAGTGAAGTTGGTTGTGAAGCCGGGGTCTGGCCGTTAGACTGAAGCAGTCCCAGAAGACATGTGGGTGTGGTGATGTCGGCTCAGGGGGGCCCATCGGTTCCGGAAGGTGAGTGCGGTCCCCTGTTCTTAAGGAGAGAGCACTCCCGCTTCCAGCGCCCCTCCGTTTGCAGAGAGGGCAGGGTTGGTCGGCGGAGGCCTTCTGTGGCACGGCTTACTCCAGGGGCCTAGCTGGTTGCAGCAAAAGCAGGCCTTAGTCCCCAGAGAAGAGCATGGTCCTGAGGTCTTCTTGCCTGAGCCCCCAGGGTAACTCTGTGTCTGAAAAGCTCTTTCTACAGTGGTAGCCACCATCTGGCAAACTTCTTTCTGCTCTCGGGGCCCACTGCTGGTCCCGCTTTCTCTTTTCCTCCTTTTATCTCTGTTATCAAAGACCTTGAAGACCAGGTTTAAACGTTCCACTTATGAAACAGGAGGTCCCTTTTCAAGTTTTTGGCATTTTTGCCAAATATCGCATTGACTGGGAGATGAAGTATATTGGTAGGATTGTCCCTCTCTGGTGTCAGGATCTAAATTAGTAAAGAGCAAGTGGCCTCACTCATGACAGATAAAAGGCTGGACTTTTATCTTGGCTCTGAGTAATTTACAATGCTCTGTGACCAGTCAACCTCCTGGAGAGGGAACTAGTGTACAGGTGGGGGAGGCGTTTGGAACAGCCGGCCAGAGTGAGTGCAGCCAGGCGAGAGTGGTGATGGAGAAGAAGCAGGAGGGACAGCTGAAAGGGAAAAATCATCTGGAAGGCGAAGACAGTGGGAGAGATGTCAGGAGTAAGAAGTGACATGTGGCAGGCAGAATGAAGATCAGGAAGTTTAGCAAGTTCAAGGAAAGCCTGAAAGTAGAGGATTTCAGAGCCCTTGCCAAGCCAGCGCCAATAGAAGATTGAGTGGCAGAATAGTAGTATGATTAAGAAATCCCTTTTGGGGCCAAATCTCTTGGCTATTTAATTTACACCTCAGTGCGGAGTCTTTAGATGGAGCTGACTGTTGCCCAAAATAAAAGAAAAGGACTTTTTAGAGATGGTCATATGTGGATATAAAAAAAGGTCTGAGGGGGTGTCCCTGACTCAGATGACCTTTGGAGCTCTGCTCAGACATCAGGCGTCCCTGACTCTTGAGTCAGACTGGAACCTAGAGATCTGGCCAGAAAACAGGCGTCCCTGACTTCTGACCAAGACCCCGAGTTCTTCCCCATAGCCAGGCATCCCTGGGTCTGGGTGAAGACCGATAAGGGCGGTGAGGAGGCATAAGGCCCTCCAAAGCGCCCCCCACGGGGAAAGGGCGGTTAGCAAGCATACCTCTACCGCACCCCCTAAGTGGTAGAACAGGCACTGGGTTTCCCTTTTAGACCAAACCTAGACAAAAGCTACCACTTCCAACCTCAAGCATATAGCCGCTTCGCTTCCAGAGACCAATAGACGCCCCAAATTCTGAATGAGACCATTGAGAATGGAACGGGGGAAGGAGCAGCCTCAAGACAGAAGCAGAATAGTGAGCTTTTTGTATGGAGGCAGAGAAGGGACTTAACTTCCATGTACCAGGGATAGAAAAATGAAGTCCCTGTTCAGGCCACCAAAACGTTAGAGTGTGCATTTGTATGTGGGTGGAGAAAGATTTCTCAACATAAAGATTAGGATAGTTTTTAAGTAAAAGGTTTATTTTACTTTAAAGATTAGAATAGTTTTACAGAAAGAAAGTTTACTTCCCAAAGGTGGGAGGGGTGCGACATGCGAGAAGGAAGGGAGAAGCACTGGGATAAGGGTTTGTGGTTTTATTAGGAGGTAAAAAGAAAGAATAGTTATGGCTGTCAGCTGATAATAGAAACAGGTGTGGAGTGGCCGTGTTAGCTTTTTCCATTTTTATTCTCTTCGGTGAGGCCGGCTTGTCAGAGTCCTTGGAAATGTGGTTCTGACAGGAACTAAGCCGGCAGAGAGCTCGCACCCCTGCCATCTGTTCAAACCTGGCACCATGATGGTTCTGGAGTCAGCCATACAGGGACAAAAAGTGCGGAGGTACCAATTCTGATAACTCTCCACCCTTTCTCAGAAAAATCATGAATGTTCCACTCCCAGCATATCGTAAAATTGGGGAACCAACATAAAAAGGAGAAATTTCATTATGTTCAGGATCTCCTCCAAGCCCAGAGCAGACCTGTTCCTCCCCAGAACGGGCTTTTGCTTGGTAAAGCTTTCTTCTATCCTGCAATGAAGCTGCTTGTGTGTGTATGTGACTGACATGCCATTGGCTTGGTACCCCTACCCATTCATCCGCACTGGGAACCGAAGACGGGCGAACCGAGTCAGACTTGACAGCAAGGCCAGCACTGCCCACGGCCCCAAGTCCCCAGGCCCAGGGATGCCTTTGGTGGCCCTAGGCCATGCGCTCCTTGCGTGTGGTGCCCACAGAGGCCCACACAAGGCCTGCCAGGTGGTGGCTGTGGGCTTGCATGTTGTGGCCTCCCCACCCCCACCCACTTCCTTGGGTCTTGGCTGCCAGGCAGCTGGATTGGGTGGCTCCCAGCCTGGGGGCCAGAATGGCCGGAAGGAACACAGTGAGAGGTGGCCCAGGGCCACTCACTGGGCGAGTGGCTCCCTGAACCTGGGCCACTGGACTCCAGTTTGTGTTGGCAGACAGCTTGGGTGTGCCAGGTGGAAACAGTTACGGGGCTTTGGGGTACTCGGAGCTGCCCTGCCTTCGTGGTCTGCTCCGAGGCGAAGTCTGAGGACACGGAGCCGCTGTGCGGACGGCGAGAGTGGGGGGACAGCCGGTCGGTCCAGGCAGTGGCGGGTCCTGGGCATAGGGCAGGTCGCCTGCGGCTGCACCCATTTCTAGGCAACGGTTTGCGTCCTCCTGGGACAGCGGGATGTGGGGATCGGCGCGGTTTGGGTTTCTTCAGAGACCTGCGCTTGCCAGGGCCTGGACTCTGGCTGGCCAGGTGGCCTCCCGCGCCTGCCCGTCCCAGGCTAGTCCACCCATCAGAGTTCTCCCGCCGTGCCAGGCCCCGCCCTCCAGCGCCTGATTGACAGGCGTACCTGCCGCCTCCCGGAGGGGGTGGGGGGCGGAGCGCCCCCTGGGTGGAAACGGCCTGTGACGCCTTGTGGGAGTGTCTGCATCTCGCCTGCCCGGCCCGACGGGTTTGGGGCTGTGGTGCCACATGGTTCCTTTCCTAAGAAGATGAGGGAGTAGCGGGAGCCCCATGTGGGTCCGTTCTAGTCTGTGTTTGAGGGTCGGGAAATCGTGGGGAATCTGACCACAAACTCCGATATCCTTCCAGACTCGGTAACACGCGACCCTTAGCTTTGGATGTGCACAGCCCTGCGTCTCTAGTCCTCAGCCCCTTTGCCTGCCCTGGGCTGCTCAGAAGACTCACTGGTTCCCTCTTCCCTTTTGAAGGACTTAAAGGAGAAGAAGGAAGTTGTGGAGGAGGCAGAGAATGGACGAGACGCCCCTGCCAATGGGAACGCTGTGAGTGGCCACCTTGCTCGCGCGAGCCCTGGCAGCTCCCGTCCCAAGAAGTGTTTCCTGGTCTGATTTTGGGTTTGGCCCAGGGCGGGAAAGGAGACCGAGGCCCTGGGCAGTTGTGGTGTCAGGGTTGCCACTGGACCTTGGTTGGAAGGGTCTCTTAGGTGCTCTGGAAGCATCAGGCAGCCCTGGAGGGAGGGGTGAGGGGGTGGGGGGCACAGCTGTGCCCTCTAGCCCTGGGCCAGCTGGTTAACTGCTGGGTGTGTGTTCTGTCGAGGAGAACGAGGAAAATGGGGAGCAAGAGGCTGACAATGAGGTAGATGAAGAAGAGGAAGAAGGTGGGGAGGAAGAGGAGGAAGAGGAAGAAGGTGATGG